ATGAGTGAAGTTATGTACATTGAGGCTTTAAAGGAATTAAAGGAAATAAAGGTAATACACCCTTGACGTGTTGGATCCCAAAGCTGTAACAACACATTAACATATTGTTATACAAGCTAAATTGCTTAAAATGGTTTCATAATTGATTCTTTGATGGGTCAGTGTTTCAACACTTTTTTACTCCTAATCCCTTAAAAAATGGAATCACAAAACCTGCCCATCAATTTTCTCTCAATAATTAATGATGATGTGACAGGAACAATACAGCTTGCAAGATACATGCCTAATTTTACATTTATGGGCCTGCAACTTTTAAGAAACAAATGGTAATGCCAATTTTTTAATATTTAATTGCAATCAGCATATCAAGGTTCACCTTACTCAAAGTTACCTTTAAGCTCCCTTCACATGTTGCTGTTTTTTTAATATTTAATAATTATTCGTGGAAGGTAAAGTGAGTATTGTTGTATAATATTCACTGAGCCTAAGGTGAATAGTTGTTTCAGTATAATTGCTTGTAGGTGCTTTTGAATTCTGTTGTAAATGTTTGTTTTGATGTTGAAACCATTCTGTTTCAATTGTGTTGATTACTCATATTGAGAGTACAATATTGATTACTCATAAAGAGCCAGTTTCCACTAGAATTTGATAGGTTTATCAAATTCAATCAGCAAAAACTTCATGTCTTTCTTTTGAAAAGTGTTACTCCAAACTAATACCAGCATCATTTGCGCTATTTGGAATTGAATTTTCTTTATCATGTTCATTACCTCCTTTGTAACACTGACAAAACCTGACACAGCCATTTTGAAATTTAGTGCTCCTGCTATAGTCACCTCAAACAAGATATGATGCAATGCTCTACCAATCAGAGGGTGTACATAATCACTGGAGCAATTATAGCAATATTAATTATGTTAAGTGTGTGTGAGGCAAAATCACTGAATTCAAAACTGCATTGTAACTGAAGTTTAAACAATCTGTGAAGTATGTTCAGAGCCACCTTAAATACATTACATTGTTGCAGAATTAAGGTGGCACTGACACCACAACATACCTTTATTTTGAGCTCTGCAAAAACAATCAAATTTGATATGTTGATTTAAACATTAGGCGTTCACACATACCTGGGTTTATGTACCTGTAACATTTATGTTTGGGAGCAGAATATATGGTTCATTTATCACATGCATGAATATAAACTTGGTAAGGACTGCAAACTTTTTTTTATGCATAAATCAATCTGAGATTGCTAAATGTTGCTGTAAATTAAAATTCATCTTTGTTGGCACAGGAAGCAAGCGTGTTGCTAGGATACGAGAAGACCCTTTGTAAACTACATATTACCAAGACTAAAATCTTCGTAGATCAAGAGGTAACTGGAGTAAGAGAACAGAGTTTAGAATTTGTTTATCATAATATTGTATAAATTTTATCCACACAATTTAAACCAGTTCTCAAATCCAATGTCAATTTTTAAAGTCTATCTATTTTGTCAGAATTTGTGCTGCTAACTTGCTTGTTTGAATTATCTCACACAATGCTCTGAAGATCATAGTTAAGAACAAGTCTCTGTAAGAATCAAACATTTTGGGAAATGAAAATTTTCCACCCCCTTCAAATTTTGCATGCAGTTAAGTACTCAGGGGGGATGCACAAAAATGCCCTTTTTAAAGGTTGCAGCACTCTTGTTGCCATGGTAATAACGACTGCTTGTTCGAGGCCTGGGGCCTCGTTTTCATACAAAAACGTCACAAAAAAAAAAGAGTGAAATGTTTATTTCTCTATCTCAAGCTAAATACTACATTACAAATTGGTACTTCTACCATTCATAGTAACATCATTCGTCTTCACTTTGATTCATTCAATTTTCCCTGAGAGTGAATGCGAACGCACCAGTAGATTATTCATCTCGGTACAGTTTCAGTCATTTTTGTTGTAGGGTAAAACAGGGAAAACGTTTATCTGAATGTGGGTCGGCCTCTATAAGGGGCAATTCGCGAACTAACTCAAAAATCAGATATTACATAATTTGGCGATGTTTACATCTAAAGTTCTCAACAATAAACGTTTCAGACAAATGAAACTAGCGAGGCTTTGAAAGAATGTTATCTAATGAGCAATATCCCGAAGAGAAATCTCGCCCCTGGTTGTCATCTTTTAAAAAAATTGATCAACCTTCATGGAGTAGGTGGACTACTCGACGTAACTACAAACATTTACTTCAAATCGTGTGCATATCATCCAGATTCCGAGTGCTGCACCTTCTTTCATGGGAATTTGAGCTATCCGGAATCCTCTGAAGATACACTGTTATACTTGCAAGTCATTTGAAAAATGTTCAAGTTGGTTGATCTACACGAAACTATCCTCACACCGGTCATTAGTCATAAACATGTACGTTATCACCATGGCGTGACGCTGTATTTCTCCATGAAGTTTCCGTCGGTCGCCCAAAAGAAGACGAGGAATGGACATTTTTCTATACATCAGCAAATTTCTGCGCATTCTAAGTAAAAACAACCAAAAAAAAAAAGAGGAAAAACTTGATCGGACGCTCGGAAACACTGAGAATCTTAGAGCAGAAATCGCAACTTGTGAGAGGCAGTACCACATGTAAAACCCAGTTGCAACAACAGTAATTTGTACGACTCGCGCGAAGTGTTGTTTCCGATAATTCCGATGTTCGATAACTCGCGATTTCCTGTAAATATTTCGGGATCGATGTTCGATTTCACACGTACCCAAACTTGATTTTTCAATGTGCTTTTTATTATGTTACAAAATCATCTTATATTACATTTGATATTATTAACTCAACCGGAAGTCACGCAATGTTACGAAATAGTAACGCACTATCCTTTTCGTCTCTATAACACGAAGGTCATCACAAAGTGGTGATTTAGTACAAATCAGTATCCCCTCAGTACAGCAAATGGAACAGGGATTTAATCACAATCAATGTCCAAAAATTTAGCTTTTGTCAGGGAGTCTTTAACATGCTCGAACGTTATATTGGCTTTGAGCCTTGAGATTTATTTCCCTTGATAACAAAATGCTATAGTAAGTACCCACAAAATTACGAAGGTTCTGTTTTTGGTGTCGCTTGGACCGTGGAGTTCAGATTTGAAATAATTAATGCTGTCACTGATGAACCAACGGGCACAATGTTCTCAGTTATTAGCTTGATAATCTCCACAGACTAGCGTTATTGGACCGAACGATCTCCTTTTTCTTCCTGGTGAGCCGGCCGCCTCAGGGGGAAATTAAAGAGACCTTTGACTTCCTCTTGTGTAAATCACCGGGAGATTACGTTATATTCATCTTTCTTTAAGCTTGTAAAAGATATTCGGGAGAAAAGTATGGAAAGTAATGGTTATGAAATCGCTGTTCTTTTTCCTGAAGGACCTGAGGCAATCCGGATTACCTATTAACCATGGGGAGTTTCGTTCAAGTGGCGAGTTGCCATTTGCGTGTGGATAATGAGTAGTCTGAAAGGGGGAATTATGACTTTATGATTTCATTAAATCCCTTTTTTCGAACTTTGTTATAATTTTTTTTCCTTTATCAAGACATGGAAGGAAACATTGAGTAAGTCGAGTCACTGCGGCGGTGATGAGTCTCTCCTCATCATATCTTATGCAAATTTTCTAACAGTTTTCAGATTCGAAATATCTCAGTTCCTCTCACTAGGAAATAACAACTGCCCGAATCTACTCTTTACTCTTTGCAAGGAGATGCCATTGCCGTTCAAAATGCTATTGTTGCAACTATGTTTTACCTTTGGTACTGCCGCTGACAAGTTACGATTTATACTCTCAGACTCTCAGTGTTTACGAGCGTTCAGTCAAGCTTTTCCCCTTTTTTTTTTGGGTTGTTTTTACTTCAGAATGCACGGAAATCTGCTGATTTATCGAAAAAGGTCCATTTCTCGTCTTCTGGGGCGACCGATGGAAACTTCAAGGAGAAATACAGCGTCACGCCATCGTGATAACGCACATGTTTATTTCGTGTAGATCAACCGACTTGAACATTTTTCAAATGACTTACAAGTATAACAGTGTATCTTCAGAGGATTTCGGATTGCTCAAATTCCCATGAAAGAAGGTGCAGCACTCGGAATCTGGATGATATGCACAAGAAGTCAATAAATTATTATTATTTGAGGTATATGTTTGTAGTTACGTTGAGTAGTCCTCCATGAAGGCTGATCAATTTTTTTAAAAGATGACAACCAGAGGCGAGATTTCTCTTCGGGATATTGCTCATAAGATAACATTCTTTCAAAGCCACACAAGTTTCATTTGTCTGAAACGTTTGTTGTTGAGAACATTAGATGTAAACATCGCCAAATTATGTAATATCTGATTTTTGAGTTAGTTCGCGAATTGCCCCTCATGAAAGTAGAGGCCGGCCCGCAGAGATGTTTACATATTTAAAAACAAGAATATTATAACCAACTAGGTGGGTAGTTTGTGTTCCAGAATCGGTGTACTTTTGGAGACATTCAGATAAACGTTTTCCCTGTTTTACCCTACAACAAAAATGACTGAAACTGTACCGAGATGAATAATCTATTGGTGTGTTCGCATTCACTCTCAGGGAAAATTGAATGTATCAAAGTGAAGACGAATGATGTTACTATGTATGGTAGAAATGCCAATTTGTAATGTTTTATTTAGCTTGAGATAGAGAAATAAACATTTCACTCTTTTTTGCGACGTTTTTGGATGAAAATGAGGCCCCAGGCCTCGAACAAGCAGTCGTTGTTACCATGGCAACAAGAGTGCTGCAACCTTTAAAAAGAGAATTTTTGTGCACCCCCCCTAAGTACCTAACTGCATGCAAAATTTGAAGGGGGGTTGAAGATTTTCATTTCCCAAGATGTTTTGTTCTTACAGAGACTTGTTCTTAAGTTCTCTATTGAGGTGTCCTCTTGGACATCTTAGAAATCATCTTCTAGATGTGTTTCAAGTTTTTCTTTGGCTATATTTTTGTAGGTTGAAGAGCATATGCATTATTTCAGGAGAATATTATTCATTACTCAAGACCCAGATGACAAAACAGTATTTGGCTGTGTGTACAGACCAGCGTACTCCTCTGGATGCACGTATAAGCTTTATGCTTTTAAGTCCGAAGAGGTAAGTGAAACCAAAGAGGCCTTATGATAGTTTAGCTGAATTATAAGGAATTCATATAGCCTGTTTATTATGGACGAGTTTAGACTGGGAATCTTGTCTTCTTTAAAGAAAAACAATATGCAAGACCAGGCTTTGGAACTCATGGGGGTTCTTTCATCAGAACCAATAAAGATTGCCCAGTTACATAGGGCTAAGGTAGAAAGAGCTCAGGTTGTCAAAGCAAATGGATTTGCTCCAATGATTGCAGAGGGGTAACTTATATAGTCCTAGAATGGAGTCATATTTGACAGACAACCGCTTGGCAATAAGTTTGATTTGATCCCCAAGACGTCCCTTGGCGCAGTTCTGTCTCTACGATAACTAGTATCAATCTGTTAGGTACTCAGGTTGCGGTAAAATCGCAAAATATCTCCTTTTCACCGTAGCGGTGAAGGTTTTATACTTTAAGAAAAAAGGCTGTGGACCGACCAGAATACCTACAGACACTGTAATTTCAGATGTATAAACTTAAGATAATGTTTGTCAAAAAGTTGTCTTCCTTTGCCAAAGTTCTACCGAAGGAAAGGTATTCCATGTGATATCCAAATCAGACAGATGTATTTCAGCAAACGCAAAAACATTTGAGAATGAAAGATTCGTACGTTCTTAGTTACACATTTCTTTTTGAAAATGACGTTACTAGCCAATTTTTTTGTGCAGTTTTACCCCTTTTCTTAAAGGTAAAATTTTTTTCCTCAGGCAAACACCCTTCATTTATTATACAGATTACAACTTAAAGACTCGCAGGTGCATGTCTCGATGAGTTGCGAGCTTTTGATATATTGCATAACGTTTTTGCTCTTCAGGCCGAGGTTATCATTAAAACTTTGAGGGAATATATTGGAGCTGCGACTAATATCGTGACAGAGGCGGCCCGATCATCATATGGTATGTACTACTGAGCCAAAGTGCCCCGTGTTCGTTATTTGAACGGTTAGTTTTGTACTACATCAATGACCTATTGGTTTTTTTCGTCGCCTGTGTCTTTTTCTGAGCGCGCATCTCTTCGATATCAGCTCGCTCTTGTGCAGGATTGTCATTAGTTACAGAGTGCTTATCATCACCATCATCAAGTTCATCATTGTTATTTTTTATCTATCTTGTCAATCTAATCAGACACAATCCTTTACGTGACTTAAGGGCACGTGCATAACGGAGGCGTCTAAACACTTACATGAAGGTGCTCTGTTTAAGAGCGGTCTGAGCACAAGCAGATAAACATCCAGTTGGATGTTGCTACAAGTGCCACTCAGTTTACTTACTCAAACAACAAGTGATGAAGGATAACTTAAAGCTGCTGGGTTTAATTCATTTTTAGGTAGGAAGAATGATAAAATAACAGATGATAATCTTAATGGTCTTGAAGTTGGATCAATGGTAGAGATCCTCTGGCCAATGGTATTCGTGATATTTTTCATTGTTTGAAGAGCATCGATGGATTATCTGATTCGGTTGTAACTCGACTTCTTTTAACAATGGCCACAGAAGCCAAAAACCCGGAAGTACTTTTATCAATAGTCTGTCTTTGAAAAGAGTAAATTACAGCACAACTTGAGCTTTCTTATTCATCTTGATTCTTTCTTTTAGCTTAAAGAATACTCAAACTTATCAGGTGGATGTTTTTATCTTGATCTAATGCCAAATTCTCCAAGTAAATATACAGGGAAATGTGTAGCTCCCAGAGGGGAGAATTAACAATCAGATCTTGGGAGTTAAAGGGTTACTGTAATGAACATTCAAAGAGGACTTCAAATACTTAATTGCCTTTGTTTTGATATAAAGGAGAAAGAGTTCTGTTTTGTTTCCTTGTCGAGTTTACGCCCCCATTTTCCAGATACCGTTGTTCACAGTTTGAAATGCTTACTTGGCTAGCATTCCTAATAAACCAGTTTACAATTACGCGTGAATTCTACCCTTATAGTAGTAGGCCCCTGAAGCATCGAGGCAGTTGAAGTTAGGAGATCTACAGAGTTAGATCAGAGTTTTTTTACATAAGATTTTTCAAGTAACGGAACATTGCAGTTTTTTCTAAGCCCTTAAAGACAGAATCAGACATGAGTTCCAGCCTATTGTATCTAGTTTCGTTTTCCTTTTAATTCCGCTTCTTTTGAAATTAGCCTTAGCCCGTTTTTTAATCGTACACATTGCAATTTACCCGTTTAGTTTTCACCGCATGTGTATGATAGTCAGACGATAGCATTAAACGTTGTTGAATCAATTTGTGTTGTCGATTCCTCCTCTGTGGTTGACATTCCCCGAACTCCAGTACACAATACCCCGTGTCCGTTGCATTAGGTACGCGAAAGTTAAACAGAAGAAAATGCAAATCAACCCCACGTGGCAAGCTTTTTGTTTTATCCTTTTAGGGTGAAAATAAGGGGTAAATAATGTCCTATAGGTAGAAGAAACTTTGAAGCTAAAAACAGAAGTATCCATTTCAGATGATCATAATTTCTTATTATGATTTCTTTGGACAGAAGAATCTAAGGAACATGTACAAACTGCCACACATTTAACTTCTCACCGATCACCAAAATCTAAAGATGAAGTGAAGCAGTTAGAGCAAGGAGCACATAGAAATAATGGATTTTTGGTAACAGCCAATTTTGTCTCAGATAGAAAGTCAAATGAAATTGCAGAAGCTATGGAAGTGGATATGGAAAAGGAAATGTCTTCCAAAGACCTTTCAGAAAAGCCTTATGCGCACTACCATACACCCGCATCGCCCAGAAATGATTTGGCAGTTAACAAGGGAACTGGTTGGTACTCAATATATTTTTTGTTAATTTTTGGAATTAATTAGATGTATATTCAGTGCTGATTTGTAACCACAGTCAAACCTGTATTAAGGGTTGGTTTTCAATCTCGAAATTCTTGATCATTGTGATTTTCATATTTTTTAAGCAGTTGTGGTCACCCTTTACTTGAGTCCCAACGGCCTGTTTGTATTGCTTCCTCCCTGTATTGAATGGTCACTTAAAGTGGAACAACTCAAATAAAACTAAGAATTCTCTTTCAAGAAAAATTTAATCCATGTTTATCTCCGTTAAAACAGTTATTAGTATTTTTGAGCACGTTCTCGTAGAATCAGTGGTCAATTGTAGAATGAAATGGAGTTTTGTACAAAACCCTTTTTCTGTGTGGTCACCCTGCTATTCCCTGTGGGTGACCGCTCAATACAGGTTCAATTGTATAATGCTGCTGTAAAATTTTTAATGGAAGTGCATGTACTGTAGTGTTGCTGGTGACTGACTCCCTCTAATAAGGAAGCATCAAGAGATGTCTCAAGTCATCTTCAGAATTAACCCATTTACTACGAGTCTTTGTAGTTTAGCAATTTTTAATTGTGTATTGCAGCCGTCAGGCTGCTTATTTATTACGAAATGCAAAGACACAGAAGATGATTCAGTTTACAGAGCATTTAGGCTCATATTTTTCTCCCCTATTCTGCTAATTTTATTTTCCCTTTGATATTCTCAAGTCAAAGGATACCTGGCAAAATCATTTTTAATTTTTGTTAAGTATTGATATGTTTCTTAGTTACTGCTGGAATAAATTTGAAGTATAGAGAAAATGTACAACAAAGAGCTGTAAGGAACTAATCCAAGTGGGGACCCACTCTTACAAGGCTGAACAACAAATGAGATGTGCATAGAAAAAAACACAATTGGCACTCTGCCCATGGGCTTGACTAGACCTATACATTTTTACTGGAAGTAAAAATTTTACTTAAGCTTGTAAAGCGATAGAGGGTTTAGGAGGATGTAGGAGTGGCTTTTTTATGTGAAAGTTTATCACAACTGTAATGGTAAAGGTAAAGTCTGTACTCAAGCCAAGTAGCCCACTAAGCGGGAGCTTATTCCAGTTTCCTTAACGTGAAGTGACTAGCAGCATCACTTCACCCCCGTGATGGGATGCTAGCCCAAGGCAAGGTTACCCCCCAGAATTTTATTAAGCTTCCCTGACAATATGCTGGCACCCATTTACAACATGTATACTCCTGGGTGAAGAGAGGCACTATGAGAATAAGGTGTTTTGCCCAAGATCACAACACATTGGGCCAGGGGCCCGTTTCTTCAAATTTCTGCCAACTTAACGGGCCTGAAGCCATATTTTAAGATCAAAAGTAAGAGAATAGAGAAGCAAGCTCTGACACCCAAACCAGTCCACTTTGTTTCTTTAGCTGAAAGTTTTATTGTATAATTCTGAAAACTTTTGAAACTCCCATCTTGAATGAAAACAGAAAAGCGGTATGGGCCCGTTGACATGTGGTTGCCGAGAAACAGGCCACTGGTCTCGAACCCAGAGCCCAGCACACTAACCTGTCTTTCGCGATCACAACTATAATAAGGTTTGAACTGTCGACAGTTTGCAACCGGTTAAGCATGATTTTACTAGTGACCAGAAATTGTTGTAATAGTAAAATTTTTCCTGCAGGTGGCAATGGTATCATGTCAGTTGATAACCGTTATGGTTTGGAGGTTGGATCTATGGTAGAGGTTCCTAGGATGGAGGGTGTTCCAAGATATGGTGTCATTCGCTGGATGGGAAATAGTCCACAAGTGAAGGAAAAGCTGGTAGCAGGTCTGGAATTGGTGAGTGAGATTTATAAGGCTCAGGCAGAGTAAAAAAATTACAGTAAACGATATATACTTCATTATTAATTATTGTATCACCAACATTTATCTATACTTTCTTTCCTTGAAGGAAGAAGAGGAGTCTGCATGTTCAGATGGGACTTTTACTAAAGAGAGATATTTCACCTGCCCAGCAGGAAGAGGTTTCTTTGTTTTACTGGAGCATTGCCGACCAGATTCCCGCTTTGCTAACTCACCAACCACTGATGTCAGTTTAACTGCTGGAAAAGGTAAGCAAGCCAGGCTGAACAACACAAATGAGATGTGCACAGCAAAAAAAAAAAAAAAAAAAAAAAAAAATTCGGGCCTTTCCCTTTAGGCTTGACTAGACCTATACATTTTCCAAGTTATTGTAAGTGAAAATTTTTTAAGCTTGTAAAGCGGGAGAAGTTGTAGTAAGATGCAGAGAACCTTTTTTATGTGAAACTGTACGGCTAAAGGTAAAGTCTGTACTCAAGCCTAGTGGCCCACCCAGGATGTGCAGTACACTTCTGAGAAATCACCTTAAGTGTTATTCCTGGTTAAGTTATGGGTATGTCGTAGCACAAGATCACCAAAATCTAAAGATGAGGTGAGGCAGTTAGAGCAAGGAGCACTTAGAAATAATGGATCTGTGGTAACGGCCAAATTTGTCACAGATAGAAAGTCAAGTGAAATTGCGGAGTGGAAATGGAAAAGAATTCAACTAGTGAACAAAAGTATAGATTTTCCACTTCCGGCTAGGCACAGGATTCTCATTTTGCTTTTAAACAAACAAAAAATTGAAGACGGATTTCTCATCTTGTAAACAGACAAGCGACTTATGGAGGAAAATGAACCAGGAGGAAACGTTCATAGGCTGGTGAGAGAACTGGAGGAACAGGTGACACATTTGCCAGCAGAACTACGAGATAAAGAGTTGAGAAAAACCAGCTTACATGAACAGCTGAAGAAAAAAGAACAACTTGAAGAAAATTTAAGGAAACAATCGGTTGAGATGGAGCAGCAGCTGACAAACCTGCGTGGACAAGTACAAGAGAGTAAGGAACAACTGCGAGACATAACTCAGCAAATGACGATTGTCCAAGGGCAGCTACAAGAAAAAAACGAAGAAACTGCTAATTTACAGAATCAAGCTACTGCAATAAGACAACAACTGGAGGGAAAAGACCAGGAAATGAATGAATCGGAAAAAACTCTGTCCACAGCTCAGGATGAGTTACGTGCATGTCAACGACAACTGAGAGATGTAACCCAGCAAATGACGATTGTCCGAGGGCAGCTACAAGAAAAGAATGAAGAAACTGCTAATTTACAGGATCAAGCTACTGTCTTAAGGCAACGACTGGAGGGAAAAGACCAGGAAATTGATGAATTGGAAAAAACTCTGTCCACAGCTCAGGATGAGTTACGTGCATGTCAACGACAACTGATAGATGTAACCCAGCAAATGACGATTGTCCAAGGGCAGCTACAAGAAAAAAATGAAGAAACTGCTAATTTACAGGATCAAGCTACTGCCCTAAGGCAACGACTGGAGGAAAAAGACCAGGAAATAAATGAATTGGAAACAACTCTGTCCACAGCTCAGGATGAGTTATGTGAATATCAACGACAACAGTCCCCTGAGTGGGTCATTTCACGGGATCACATTCAGCTGACGGGCAGGTTTCTCGGCAGAGGAGGCTGGGGAAGTGTTGTAGAAGGCAAATATTGTGGTTGTTCTGTTGCAGTGAAACAGATCCATGAGTTGATTCTCTCTCCTCACAACCGCAAATTATTTGAGCGAGAAATGGATATTGCATCAAGATGCCGCCACCCTTGCTTGCTGCAGTTCATCGGAGCTACAAATGACGAAGGGAATCCACTGTTTGTAACAGAGCTTATGGATACAAGTTTACGCACTCTGTTGGAACAGAGAGCTCTTTCTGAGGCAGAATTGTCTTTTATTTTTCTGGATGTGGCTCGGGCGCTAAACTACCTTCACCAAAAGCAACCATCTCCAATTATTCACCGCGACATCAGCAGTGCGAATGTGCTACTCTGGCGACAGGGTGAACATTGGCGAGGCAAAGTGTCAGATTATGGAACTGCCAAATTTATGCAGCAGACCATGACAGTTGCTCCTGGTGCCATGATATACAGTCCTCCTGAAGCACTTACTAAAAATCAAACCGTCAAGGTAAGCTGTAATTGGTTTATTGTATGTATGTGCGTATTTCACGTGCATGTAAGTTTATGAATCGACCTAAACTTAAGGTAACGGACATAAATTTTAATTTTGCTAATACCGTTAGAAGGTCGGGGCTTTTTATTGTGTAGACGTAAAATCAAGTATTATCGCTCATCTTGAGATAGGTATGGATCGAGACGTTCTGACTCATTAGTAAGAACTAAGAAACTTTAGTGAAGGGCTGTGTTTTCCTCTCATTTTCGTCCCTTATCTTGTTCAGGTTGATGTGTACAGTTTTGGTGTCCTCCTCTGTGAGATGTGCATCCGGGAATTGCCAAATCCAGAAAGGCGTGATCGGCAAGTCGCCATGGTTAAAAACAAATTGAATCGAGCCCTTATCCGAAAATGTTTGCAACGAGAGCCTGAGGCGAGACCAAGTGTACAAGAGATCATTGATGAACGTGAGCAATCGAACAAAAGTAAGTTTGGTCGGTTTTTCTTTTAACAGAATTAACTTAATTCTGCTACTGCCAATGTAATTGCAGTGGTACGTATGCTACTGAAGGAAATCTCATATGCATTCCCCCCCCCCCCTCCCCTTCCTGGAAATCATAAGATGTGATTAGATTGGTAGTTTCAGAAATTAATTTCATTATTCAGAATTGGAGAAAGGCATGAAATTCCAAAGGAATGGAAAATGATAGGAGTATCGTCAACGGAAAGCATTTTCTACCTGGGAGGCATCCTCGGAGACTCAGGGGCTGTGAGTCGATTTCAAGTCAGGGCGGAAGAGCCCCTGGGGACATTGTCTTACAAGACTAGTTCCAAACGGTCGCAGTCGTTCTGGCATCTGATTGGTGCCAGAAAATCTTTGTGTTTTTATGCCCAATCAGAGTGAAGTATGCTTTAGAGTCCTTTCGTGTGTTTTAACACGGATATGTACAAGAAGCTCAGTTGCTCGCCCTGTTTGTTTGTTCCGCGCGACGAAGCTTTGCCCTCGGTAAAAAGTTTCAGTCTCAGCACACAGTGTAAGAGAAACTGATCAGATTGTCCGCGAAAATATTACTAGAAATTATACTAAATACTTTCGCAGGTATCAAAAGAGAACGTATTTAAAAGTTTGCGAGGTTCGTATAAAGCACAATGGTTGCAGGCGTTAATATGTCGCTTTAAACGTTAGACGAGATGTAAGCTTAAATCGTTCTAGATTTCTCGTATAATTTTCTGTGACTGAAACTTTGCCAATCCCGTGAAGTTATTTTGTCGCACGGGCCACGCAGGTATGTCGAGCAACTGGAAAATGGCAGCAGTTGAAAAAATGAAGGTCTTTCCAAACCCCTTCGGTAACTGTCCGAAAACAACCCTCCTTCCCACAATGTTCTCGATAGAAAGTTTTTGTTCAGATTTTGTTCGCCGCTAACCGGAAACACAGCTAAGCTTTCTCTAAGCGCTTGCTGGAGGTCGTCCACGAACTTAACGTTCTCTGCAACGTTGGCGCGCCATATTGTGAAAGACTTTACTACTATGTAAGGGTTAGATTTTAGCGCGCACAGAAAGCTACGTAAGCGTAAGCGCCAGTTGCTGCGACCGTTTGGAACTAGTCTTGTAAGACAATGTCCCTAGGGGCTCTTCCGCCCTGACTTGAAATCGACTCACAGCCCCTGGGTCTCCAGGGATGCCTGGGAGGTTGACCTTTTAGTTTTATGTAGAAAGAGTTTATGAACGATTTAAGTTTTATGATTTTTTTTTTCGGTAGCTCAGTTGTACAAAACGCCCTCCCACCTTGATTCAAATCTTAAACGAAGACCATTGTCGTATTTTTGGTAATGTTTGAAATTAGGGGGATGTTATTTTATATTCCCAAGTTCTAGGTGAACCATTCATGGCACGTGCTTGAATCTGTGCGATCGGTTTGATTCCTATAATGCATGTTACGTATATCTTGCACTTGTAAGGTCATTCGTAATATTGCATTGGACATCCTTACTGCGCATGATTTCACACCTGACCACTGCGCACAGATTAAAAAATGGTGGCTTTTTCTTTGTGCTCGGCACTCACCAGAGAGGTAAATTGTCACTTTCTTCAAACGAGGAGGTTGATCTATCATTTTTTCTCTACATTGGTGTTGGGCACGTAATATCTTTCCGTGAAATAAATATAAACGAATTCTCTTCGTAGGAAAAGGAATTCAATTTTGGAAAAGCGAACGTAGTAGGATCCGGTAACTATAATCTTCAGTGTATTTTAGTAATCATATGGTACGTATACTAGGTAATGCAGCTCCTAAACGAAAACTGGGACCTGTATTTTTTATTTCAAAATTTACATTCCTTCAAGGTAAACAATCAGTAGGTAGAGTTTAAAAAAAAATCTCAGTGCAGGTTCTTTTTCAGAGGACTGACCTTAGGATCACACACCAGGTGCTTCGAAAATAGAAAATTCACATAGAAATAAGCTTTAATGCGTTTCATTCGGATAACATATTGGTCACATGGTACTTTTTTTTTTAACAAAACGTGCTTTTCAGAAGTCCACAGAAAAAATAAATAGAAATGTTAACGAGGGAGTTTATGGGTAATGTTCTCTTGATTGTATAGCAAACCGTGCAAAGTATCGATAAATTTCTCCTGTGAGAACTATGTTTACTCCTCGTTCTACAAATTACAACCTACGTGATCACCACATCCTGTCACTTTCTTAGCCGAGAACAACAGTGTATGGTCTATATTCATTTAATTACCTAGCTGCTAAACTATGGAATTCCCAATCTGATAGCCTGAGAGCTTGCGAGGATTTGTATGAATTTGAGGGGAAAATTCTTAGTTTTGTCAATTTTAACATTTAGTATCACAAGCATGTATTTTTATATCTGTTGTAAATTGTATCGTATTTTATAGTACTTTATATTTTATTAATGTATTATTTGAAAGGCATGTAAATTTTATATTGTTATTAAAATTTGTATTTTCATTGCATTTTATTATATTTTAACAGGAAGACGTTAGCTTTGTAGCTACACTCAAATTCGCATTACAACTTCACTTCGATTGAAATTTTCATTCAGAAATGGGTGTTGCCGCTGGATTTTGTGCATAGAAGGCTCGATTTATTCCTTTGGGTATTCACTTCGGGGGGACACGTAGAACCGCCGAAAGCGTAATGACTAAGTTCGGATTCGGTCGTTCTGGGAAATGAGAGATCTTTTGGAGGAAGACTCAAAGGAATGAAATAATAGCGCAATTAAGCGATCTCGAGCGGCAGCGTTTACAAGTGTATATCCTTTTTGTTTTCACGTGTCAATGAACTCCAAATAATCATTGAAAACATTTATGCCTTCAGGTTTTTTCGCTCAATGTTTTTCAAGTTTGACTTGTATTTATTAAAACAGAGCATTTAAGAGCTTTAAAAAGAGATTTTGAACGAGCATATTTGATGATTGTAGGCCCAAGTTGGTATTTTACTTCTTGTTATATATTGGTGTTTTAATTTATGCGCAGCCATCTTTTACCGGCGCGTGAGAAGCATGACTTCGGAAGAATGACTGCAGACATTTCATGCCTTCAAGCTTTTTTCGCAAAATGTTTTCAATTTTGATTTGCGCAAAATAAGAAAGGGCATTTTGCGAGCTCTATAGAGAGACCTTTGAACGAGGTGCGTGTGAAGCGTGTTTGCAAGTCGTGCATTCTCGAACATTCCATTAAGGCCTATTTACACGGCACAACTTTGTCGCATGCGACAAGCTTACGACAGGCCTAAGACATGACTTAAGAGTCGTAAGCGAGTTGTAGGTTTGATTTACACGAAACAATTCGTGTCGTAAGCCTGTCGTAAGCTTGTCGCATGCGACAAAGTCGTACCGTGTAAATAGGCCCTTAGAGTGGTTTAGCAATAGGACGGGAACGTCATTTCAGAGCGGCGCGCACAGCAAAAATGTCGATAAGAAACTGGGTCGAGAACGCCGTCGCGTTGTGTTGAAAAGTGATTTAGCAGTCGTTGCAACGAGAATCCTCACCTCGGCTTTTAAAGATCACCATCACCTTTGAATATTCAGTTTTATAGACCACTCTAAGGACAACAAAATTATCTTCTTAGAGAGTTATGTAACAAGCGCAAACAGAGGATATAGTTATAGATACGGCATGTAAGTTGTTAAATCCACATGGGCGATTAACCTTTGAAACTATTCCATTCCAGTTTAGTCTCGAGTCTGCTGATTCATCTATCAAATTTTTAAGCCCACTAAATAGTTTTTTTTCTATGATTTGTGTCGCTGTCATTTGTTTCGTGCTACTAGATTTCAGCACTACTCGTTTTTCTTCATAATTTTGTAAAGGATAATTTGGAAATCGTCGACTCGTAAAATGGCACCCAGCTCTCTGGGGCTTGGAACCCAAAATGTGAGTAAAACAAGCTTGAACATGCGAAAAATGAAAATTCTTCGGAAAGTCAAAATAGTTTGAAATATTTGTGACCTGATTTGAAAATTTGAAAGCAATGGTGATGCTGCAGAAGAAAGATAAATCTCGGCTGTGACGTGCTGGTTCTGCAATCCGCCCACGAGTGTGATGATCTTCGGCTTTGACTCAGTTGAACACAATCTTTTATTAATTGCAATTTTCAAAGGAACTTTCTTTTAATAATTAGTTGACGTATGGGTGTAGAATGATCTAAAGGTATCCTTTAGAAATCGAAATCAGGTACGGATCACATAAAACCATTATCAGAAGGAATAAGAAAAGGCACGTGTGAATTGTGGACCAAACTTTCTGTTTGGGAGATGACGTAATGTAAAGTTTAAAATAGCTCAACCTATTCTTCATAAGAACGAGGCAAGGGAAATTCCCAGAAAAGATGGCGTTGTTGTTCCATTTTCATTGTGGTCAATGCATGGTTTGTTTACAGTGAAGGTGAAATCGTCGTTCCTATATACTCGGTACAAAATGGAAGAACCCAGCATTAAGTATATTCTTCTACGTGATCGTGTCGGACACGCAGTTGAAAAAAACTTATTGACGCTTGGCCTTACGATGAAGTCTACACCAATGCAAGTTTTGCGAGGCGAGATATTAGAAGGTGTTCTTGAGGCTGAACAGCCCACAGACTTAACTAAAGTTGCTGTTGCTGTAATTGAACGTAAATCAATACGTCTTAAATGTCCTAAGGAGGATGTGGCTCGACTGTCTGAGGAAGAAACCAACTTGCTTTTAGCAATTACTTTATCTGAAGGAAGATACCAAACGTATATAGATAGGAATCGTCTGGCACTTGGCCGACAATTGTCACACGGAAGTGCTGTTTTCGTCGAATTGAAAGGATTCTCAAAGGTTTTACCTGGTATTGTTTGGTACAAAGGTGTATTACCACCCAGTCTGGGAACTTGGTTTGGAGTTGAACTCATCGTAAGTACTCGTGCATTATTTAAGTCGTGTTGTTGGATGTAGCAATTTACATTATGAAAATTTCGTTCAGACAGCAACACAACTGAGTTACCATGCATGTTACACCGAGTTAAGCTTGCTTTTACATCTCGTGAGTCTTTTTTCAATCTCTTCAATGCCCATCTTCCTAGGAGACTCTTAAGACTGAAGGGGGATTTAAATGATTCATTCAGTAGTATGTAATGGTAAAACTTACCCTTTAGACAGTCATGTGCAAGTTGTCATCTCTAATTAAGAATAATGTCATGTTTACCGGTAAGATTTTATATTCCTGCTTTCTTGGTAGTATGGTGTACATGTATGTTGCATACTGGATGCTGAACAGTGGGTATGGGATAAAATTTTTCATTGATTGTGATGGCAACTACAGTGATGATAATGATGATGATATTGATGAAAGTCATAATGATGGTTAATGATGAAAAATATCTTCAATATTTATGATTACAATCTATGGTTTAACATATCTAGAGACATCCAGGGTCAGGAACATGTGATGGAACATTTAGAAACAAGCGATACTTTAGCTGTCAGCCAGACTCTGGGGTTTTTGTTGGACTGGACAAATTGACAGCTAGAGAAGGTGAAGATGACTTGAAATCTTCAAAAATTACAAAAAAAGATGAGCATATTCAGGCCAAACTTAAATCAAGTCTTAAGGATTCAATACTGTCATTTTGGAGGGGAAAACATGAGCAAAGGTCACTTCAAGGAATTGATGGAGTGCTTACGACTTATGAGAGAGTTGTGACATTTATTAAGGATTCTCCAGCCAGAGGAACTGTGCAATATATTGGAGAGGAGGTTGATTCAACTGGAAATGCTTACATAATTGTAGGACTAGAACTGGTAGGTAATCATAATATTTAACTTAATTGTACATGTATTTTTGGATGTAGAGTACCTACCATTCAAAAGTAAGTTGACAGTCTTGACTCAAAACTATTGAGAATCCAGGATCAAGAATCGAGGCTTGAGTATCAAGAATAAGGAGTGAGACGCTTGAGCAACCTCTTGAGGATCTTGATCTGCAATTTTGAGGAAACTCTGTAATTAATTCTTGAACACAATAATACTGAAGGACAAAGTGCTTGACACGTGGCTTCATGATACAGAAGCAGCTTGCTTGTATGCAAATATTTTCATTTTTAACAGGGCAGGAGGTTGAATCAAGCTACTCTCTAGCTTTTCTTATTCTAATAACAGAATGGGATCACATGAATATTCACAAAAATTAACCTAAAAAAATTGAACTTTGGGTGCCAGGAGTGACATCAGTTTTCCTTGGTTTTGGAATCATCCACAAATCTACAACAAACTGATAAAATTTAAACAAACAATCCCACAGAAACTGTGATTTGTTGCATATGGTAATATTTTGTTACTTCTTGTAAGTGATGGTTTGAGATAAAAGGGTATAATTTATGGCTGTAATTAAAATTAAATATTAATATTAAAAATAGTTTAAATCAAAGATGTGTAGATAAATTGCAATCAATTTATTGAATGAAATGAGCCACTTAGTAAGTCATTTTATTTCAACTTCCTTTCCTCTATAAGGATGAAAGATTGGGATCTGGTACTGGTAAAAGATTTGGCTCTCAAAAGTTTGTTTGTAAGAGAGATTATGCAGCATTTGTACCATTGAAAACTGTCATACCAGAGAAGGACTTTGATGGTAATCCTGGAAAAGCTGGAAGACAAGAAGCTCAGGGAAAGTGTGAGCAAATTCATGAAGGTGAAATGTATGCAAGATCAATGAGCTGTGGTAATGTACCATCAGGTAGACAAATGATTTGATTTCTCAGTTGATTTATAAATTTTTGATTCACTTAGTCAAGCACACCATGCATAACGAAGCAGAAAATCATAATCTGTGAACTAATGTCTTTTTACAGTAAATGGTTCAAACCTGAGGGGTAACATGTAGTAGTGTAGTATGATCATCCAGGTGAGAGTAGTCCTGAGAAGGACTATTGTTGGTAGTGGTGACTGATGTTTTGACAACCTGAGCAGAAGTCATCGTCAGAGTGAAGTGAATAGTTGTTGTCATTTGAATGTTCTAAGTCCGGTTTGGATAAACTGATCGGCCAGTTTTGCCGTGATGTTTCTGGCTGTAAGACTTGAATGGGTTGGTATGATTGGTCAATCTCAAACCATCAGTAAAGTTACATGTAGGCCATTCTGTTCAGCACTATTGTAATGGTAATGTTATGAATGAATTTTTGACACCTGTTGAGGGGAGTCTGTTCAAAGTTAATAAACCAGCTTTTCAGAGGCAGTCGTTGAAAGTAGTTGGTGTTGAAGGTTAGGTATTCTGCAGAGTCCCAGTCAATAGTGTGGTTGGTAAGTCAGTAATGTTCAGCAATGTGATTGTTGACATCACCTTTCCTCGTTGCTTTGTGTTCAGTCAGTTTTGTTGTGAGGTTTCTGACAATCTCTCCGATGTAGGAGGCACGGCAGTTGAGCAGTTAGATCTTATAGACAGCTCCTTGTCTGTTCCTTGGTTCATCAGTAACCTACGTAGTGCAATGAAGGGTTTGTGGGTGATGCAGATATTAAAGGGTTGTAGAATGCAGGAGATGTTCGCAGATATGCTCTTGGTATAGTCGCTTTAGTTGTAGGAGTTGCAGTGTTGTTAGTTGTTTTAGGTCCATTAGTGTTTCATCGAATGACATCTTCACTGTAGTTGTTCTTTGAAAAAACAAGGTCAAAGTACTTGTTCTCATCAGATAAGCTGTCTGTCATGTTGCATACTAGTTGTGCTTATCATGTTAGAGTCCTGATAGTTGTAATGGTTCTTTCACTCAATTCCCTTTAAACATTTAAATGCTGAGAGGTTGTTGTTCCAGTCAAAAAAAGGTGTATTCAATTGAAACATTCAAGCTTTAGGTGTATGGTGACATGGTGTCCTGAATCGTTAATTAATTTGTAAAATTGGAAAGGCATCTAGGGGTACTTTTTTCAATGTAGTGCATAGAACATACCTTGAAGGATTGTGGTGAGGAAAACAAAGTGGATTTATTTTGTATCTTTATCTTAGGTAGTAGTAAGGAATCTGTCAGAAAACTAAGAAGAACAAATTCAACGACCTCTGCTGAAACAGAGGCTGCTAGAGAATCCAGCAAAAGCGATCTAGTCAGTCAGATGCTTAGGGAGTTTGAGGGCAAAAACCTGCTTGACAATCAAGATAATGATGTCATCATGTTTGATGAAGAAAGAACAGACAGTGCCAAAAATTTTCACTTTAAAGATGGTCATTTGAAAAACACTCCCCAAGACAGGTCTGTTAGTCATGGGACTAAGATTACAGTGCAGCCTGGTTTGTCAAATGGTGACTGTAATTATACCAATTTTAACTATCAAAACACTACTCAAGAATATGATGACTATGTAAACATTGATAGGGATGGCCCCTAAGCCCCTAAGCAAAAATCCCATTTGAAAACCTGTACATTTATATTAGTGAGAAATATAATTGTGTTTGCTTTGTTCTTACATACCAATCATTACACAAAACAATCTTGACCATATGACATTAATTAACACAAAATCTACGAACAACATCACTTTGATTCTGAAACAAGAGATTATAATTACTGGACCTTCATGTTACCTAAATGCTTCTAAGATCTACAGTTGTTGTCTTATTTATAGTCCATTTCTGGCATATAAATTAAATGGAACTCAAATACTAATGAGGAACAACATGTACCAAACAACACTGCATCCACAAATTCAATTCGAAACGTTGGATCTATGAATTGTAACTTCTTCGGTTACATTCTTTAAATCTGTAAACCAGAGTAGCATCAAACCATGTCTGATTGTCCACCTGGGTGCCCTGTGGACTTTAGTATATCCTTTAGGTATCTTCAGATTATAACTAAGAGGCTGGCAAGTGCATATCATGGTGAATTGTTAGGTGTGATATATTTCATAACATTTTTGGTCTTCAGGCCGAGGTTATCGTTTAAGTCTTGAATGCAGCTTCGGAAGTTGTGACTATTGAAGAGGCAGAATTATAAAAGGAGCGCCCAAAAAACTTTTCTTAAGAGACAAACAGTACTGAGCTATTGAATATATCAGGTGTATGTTGTTGTAGCTAAGTTCCCCATGTGTCATACATGGGGCACTTAGTGTTATTTAATAGCTAGGTAGGCTTTATAATTTTTTTCGTTTTCCTCGATACAAGAACGCTGACTTGGTTTTTATTCGCACGCTTCATTTTGTAGACGTTCAAACGCACCTCCTCCTTATCAGCTGGCTCTTTTGTAGGATATATGATTTATCATCACAGAAAACAAAAAAATACATCATTTTAAAGGTGCGTTTTTGGTGAACTAAACAAGAGACATCAAAACTCAAAATTCAAGAGTACCTATGTCAAATTATAGCAAACCTTCTTCAAGCACTATTGATGACTGTAACATTTTCTCATTTCAAGACATGTTCTGATCATGGCCTCACGAGAGTTCAACTAGTGAACAAGAATATATTTTCCACTTCCGGCCAAACACGGTGTCTAAAATTTACAATTAATTGTAGATTTCTCATCTTATGAACAGACCGGCGACTAACGGAGAAAGAGGAGCAAGAAGGAAATGGTCACAGGCTGGTGAGAGAACTGAAGGAGCAGGTGACACATTTGCAAGCAGAACTACGAGAGAAAGAGCTGAGAGAGACCAGCTTACATGAACAGCTGAGGAAAAAAGAACACCTTGAAGAAAATTTAAAGAAACAATTGACTGAGATGGAGGAGCAGCTGACAAACCTGCGTGGACAAATACAAGAGAGAAATGAACAACTGAGAGATGTAACCCAGGAAATGACGATTGTCCGAGGGCAGCTACAAGGAAAAGATGAAGAAACTGCTAACTTACGAAATCAAGCCACTGTCCTAAGGCAACAACTGGAGGAAAAGGACCAGGAAATGAATGAATTGGAAACAACTCTGTTCAAAGCTCAGGATGAGTTGCGTGAATATCAACGACAACAGTCCCCTGAGTGGGTCATTTCACGGGATCATATTCAGCTGACAAGTAAATTTCTCGGCAAAGGAGGCTGGGGAAGTGTTGTCGAAGGCAAATATTGTGGTTGTTCGGTTGCGGTGAAACAGATTCATGAGTTGATTCTCTCTCCTTACAACCGCGAATTATTTGAGCGAGAAATGGATATTGCTTCGAGATGCCGCCACCCTTGCTTGCTGCAGTTCATCGGAGCTACAAATGACGAAGGGAATCCATTGTTTGTGACAGAACTGATGGAAACAAGTTTACGCACTCTGTTGGAACAGAGAGCTCTTTCTGAGGCTGAATTGTCTGTTGTTTCCCTGGATGTGGCTCGGGCGCTAAGGATGTTTGCAACGAGAGCCTGAGGCGAGACCAAGCATGCAGGAGATCATTGATGAACTTGAGGAACCTGTTTAAAATAGGTTTTGTCGGTTTTGCTTTTAACAGAATTAACGTAATTTTGCTGTTACCAATGTAATTACCGTGGTATGTATGCTACTGAAGGATATCTCTTGTGCATTCTCTCCCCCCCCCCTTCGGAAATCATAAGACATGATTAGATTGAGAAGTTTCAAATATTAATTTTATTATTCAGAATGGGAGAAAGGCATGAAATTTCAAAGGAATGGAAAATGATAGGAGTATTGTCAACTAAAAGCATTTACTACGTGGGAGGTTGTCCTTTAGGTGTTATGTAGAAAGAGTTTATGAACAAATAAGTTTTATGATTTGTTTTGTAGCTCAGTTCTGCAAAACGCCCTCCCACCTTGATTTCAATCTTAAACGAGGACCCTTATCGTATTTTTGGTAAAGTTTGAAATTAGGGGGATGTCATTTTACATTCCCTAGTTGTAGTTGAACTATTTTTGGCACGTGTTTGAATCTGAATGGCGTGCGATTGGTTTGGTGCCTATCATGCATGTTACAAATACCTTGCACTTCTCAGGTCATTCGTAATATTGCATTAGACATCCTTACTGCGCATGATTTCACACTTGACCACTGCGCGCAGATTAAAAAATGGTGGCTTTTTCTTTGTGCTCGGTGCTCACCAGAGAGGTAAAATGTCACTTTCTTTGAACGAGGTTTTTTTTTTCTTTTAATCGCAACACGAAGAACACTACTTACAAATCAAGACAGACACTACTTACAATACCACTTACAATAGGTTACTTACACAATATACAATACAATACTTCCTTAGACTACAATTCTTACAATACTTTCTACCGTTTGTTTTTCGGTTACACACCCATGTACCTAGCAAATTGCAATTCAAAACGGGTTTCCACTTAGCCTCTAACATCTTCATATTATTATACTTAGCAGCAATATGACTTTCAGTTCCATATTTTCTTTTGACTAGTTCCTTATAGGAAGTGAAAGAAGAAAGACTATTATTCCTACGGCAGTTCCATAAATGTAGCTTACCTAACGAGGAGGTAAGCTCTAAGTAAGTAGACGTGGATAGGCCTTGGCTGCGGAGCGTTAGCGCTAGCGCTCGCAGCCGCTTGGTTGATCTTCGTACGGTGCGCTCGCATTACTTCCATATTTTCGAGGCCCATGTGTTTAATGAATAGTTCTTCCTTTAAAAATTCTTCAACGGAGCTGCAGTCTTTTTCGGCCCCTTTCTTTAAACCACATATGACTACATTGTTCCTCTTAGACCTGTTCTCCAAGTCAGCAATTTTTTGTTGAGGGCGTCTATTTCTTTGCGGTTCGCCTTATCTGCAAGAGCGCTTTTAATCTCAGTTACATCGAGGTCTAAAAGTTTATAACCATCTTTCAATATCTTTCAAATTACATCCTATTTTATAGTATCTTATATTTTATTAATGTATCATTTGATAGGCATGTAAATCTTATATTCCTATTATAATTTGTAGTTTCATCGTACTTTATTATGTTAAACACGAAGACATTAGCTTTGTAGCTACATTGATATTCGTGTTTAAAAAAAAATTATGCATGTATGTATCGTGTGACTGGCTCTTGCGTCAGCGTGTATTCATCGAGTTGTGAAGCGAGCAGGTAGTTTGGAGAGTACAAAAGATGGATAAAGGTTGCTTGAGGCTCAGCCAAGAACGAATTATCTTCTTGAGCGCTCTACAAACTTTCTAAGGGCTTTATATCTCGATGAACGCACAACCACGCATAAACCAAACGTTCTATAAATTCATGTAACGCTCTAGTGAAAGTGTTTTGGGAAGGCGAATTCAATTTGCTACACTTCCTTCCTACGTACAGTTCATTATCATACAGAGTGGGAATATGCAGCTCGCCAGTTCAATTAATCACGTGTTAGATACGTCCTTATTACCGAAAATAAATTATTCGCTTGTATTATGTTTGAAATAACGAAATAGCTGTATGATCTCGTAAAGGCGTGCAAAGCAGGCTGATTTTATTTTCATTTACATTCGTTGTTTAGGGTTAGACTTAAATGTGGACACTCAGGATAAAATGGTGGGAAAAGTTATACAGTTGTAAACGCTGTTTAGATTGCTGTATCAACTTTGTAAAGTTATTATTCCCCATGAACGAAGGCAGACGTGACACTTTATTTCATTTAACTGATGTGATTGGTCAACGTCATTGAGTTTTCTCTCCAAGTTTAAGGTGTAAATAAATGCATTTAATCTCAAAGATTTTTAAAAAACCCTCAAATTTCGCGATTGAGAGGCCCGTAACTTTCCAATAGACCTTTACTTCTGAGCCATCTTCTCTTATGGCGAAAGTGAACTCTGTACCTTTGAACACGTCCGTATTTAAAAATAAAACACTCGTATCCCGTCGCAAAGATTTGACAGTTCGGGTTCAAATCCCCACCCCATCCAGGCAAGGTTCAAATTCTTCACCCCCGTGCACGGACGACAGATAAGTATCGCAGTAGGTTAGCGAAACGTGGTCAAGTGACAGGCTGTGTTCAAAAGGCTGATCGGAAAGGCAAAAATTTCTTTAGGTTACTAGAACTGCAAAAAGTTGCCCCAGACACCAAGAGTTGCTCAAAAGTTGCTGAGCACAATCGGGACAGGCCTCAAATCCCCGCTAACTCGAACCATTTTCCATTTCCGGATTTTTAGGTATTCGAATTAGGGGGGTTCAACTGTATTTCATAAGGAAACCAGGAAGGACTCGTAAAGGGGCACCCAGTTCTCCGCGGGTTGGAACCCAAAATGTGTAGAGAACAGCCTTGAACATGGGGAAAATGAAAATTTTTTGGAAAATGAAAATAGTCTGAAATATTTGTGACCCGATTTGAACATTTGAAAGCAATGGTGATGCTGCAGAATAGAGCTAAATTTGCTGTGACGCGCTGATTCTGCAATCCACCCACGAGTGTGAGGATTTTTGGTTTTGACTCAAAATGAACTTTCTTTTAATAATTCGTTGACGTATTGGTGTAGAATGATCCAAAGGTATTCGTTAGAAATCGAAAATCAAGTACAGATCACATAAAATCTTTTACTACTGGGAATAAGAAGGAGCACGTGCGAAACCAAACTTTCTTAGAAGATGACGTAATGTTGTTTAAAAATAGCTCGTACCTATTCTTCATAACATCGAGGCTAGGGAAATTCCCTTAGTAATGTCGTTCTTCCTCCCTTTTCATTGCGATTAATGCATGGCTTGTTTACAGTGAAGGTGAAATCGTCGTTCCTGTATCCTCGGCACGAAATGGAAGAACCCAGCATTAAGTATATTCTTCTACGTGATCGTGTCGGACACTCAGTTGAAAAAAACATGTTGTCGCTCGGCCTTACGATGAAGTCTACACCAATGCAAGTTTTGCGAGGCGAGATATTAGAAGGTGTTCCTGAGGCTGATCAGCCTACAGACTCAACTAAAGTGGCTGTTGTTGGAATTGAACGTAAATCATTACGTCTTGAATGTCCTACGGAGGATATGGCTCGACTATCTGAGGAAGAAAGCAACTTGCTTTTAGCAATTTCTTCATCTGAAGGAAGATACCAAACGTATATAGATAGGAAACGTCTGATATTTGGCCGACAATTGTCAGTCGGAAGTACTGTGTTCGTTGAAGTGAAAGGAAATTCAAAGGTTTTTCCTGGTGCTGTTTGGTACATAGGTATATTACCACCCAGCCTGGGAACTTGGTTTGGGGTCGAACTCATCGTAAGTATTCGTGCATTAGTCAAGTCGTGTCGTTGGATGTAACAATTTATTTATGGGTAAATTTCGTACAGACAGCAACACGACAGATTTTACGAAATATCTTGAAGGTAACATGTCACCCCTAGTTAAGCTGGCTTTTTCATAACCTTTGTATTTCAGTTAACCTTCTCAGACTTAGTGAAGTTGATTTCAACTCTTAGAATCTTCTCTTCAATGTCTACCTTCTTGGAAGACTCCTAGACTGAAAGGAATATTTAAATGCTTCATTGACACTAATTCGGTTTCGCTTTCGTCGCAGGCTCGTAAGTTTTGATGCGCCTGCGTATAATTTTGAGATTTCACCTCTCTTGATTTACTAGTATGGATAACTTCATGTTATACGGCCTTCCTTTCCAGGATTTATAACTTAGCAGTAAACAGTGTTGATGATTCCTTTGTATGTGCTTTTCATAAAGAACGAAAGCAACCCAAAAGAAAAGTCTTGTTGTGTTAACTTTTGTCAATTAGCATGGAAAGTGTCACTCTGCCCTGCACTTTTTTTTACTGAGATAGTTGGGAAGTTACAATTCTGAAAAATGGCAAAGAGCCATTGTTCTTCTCCTATTCAGGGAGATTCTGCTGGTCAAAACTAAGAAAGTAATACTCAATGTCACCTTACTAAGAAAAATTTATGATTCTGTTTACTTTTGACATGCTTGTCACTTTCCTGAGGTAGCATTTGTGACCTTCTTTAGAAAAACACACAACCACAGGTTTTAGATTTCAAACAGAATTCTGTTTGCTTGCAGATTCTCAATAATTCAAAGTGGGGAATTTAAACTAGCATATCTTCTCCACCAGCTTAAGTGTCTGTTGAAACAGGTCGCACAGTTGTCTGAACTGCTTTGGCACCTATTCAGTTAAAATCTCCTCTTACATAAGGTGGGGGGGTTACATTCAATTGCAAACAATTGGCATCAACTAGAAAAACTATCATATCTATTTGAACAACAATTTCTCTAAGTTTCCAAATGGAAAGTGTTTTGATTGAAACAGATGTGTGTTGAATTTGAAGGCATAGACAATTTTCTCCATCAAACCCAAGTATCTTAATATCACTGCACTATGAAGTTGTTTATTGATGAGCAGCAAGGAGCAGCTACATGTAATTAAAATAAAGTTGTTCAATTCATAATGATAAGATCTAGGGGAAATACACTATTATTTAGAATAAACATCTCAAGAATTCAACAAGCTATGAAGCTACTTCATAATTGTCATGAAATACTAGTAAAGTTCATGAACAATATGAAATGGTAAAACTTGCCCTTCAAACAGTCATGTGCATGGTGTCATCTTTGCTTAAGAATATGTCATGTTTACTGTTAAGATTTTAAATTCCTGCTTTCTTGGCAGTATGGTGTACATGTATGTTGTACACTGGATGCTGGACAGTTGGTATAGGATAAAATTTTCATTGATTATTATGGCAACCATGGTAATGATAATGATGATGATAATGATGAAAGTCATGATGATAGTTGATGATGACAATAAAATTCAATATTAATGATTATGATCTGTGGTTTAACATATTTAGAAAAATCCAGGGTCAGGAACATGCGATGGAACATTTAGAAACAAGCGATACTTTACCTGTGAGCCAGACTCTGGGGTTTTTGTTGGACTGGACAAATTGACACCTAGAGAAGATGAAGGTGACTTGAAATCTTTGAAAAGTGCAAAAAAAGATGAAAATATTCGGGCTAAACTTAAATCAAGTCTTAAGGATTCAATTTCATCATTTTGGAAGGGAAAACATGAGCAAAGGCCATCTCAAGGATTTGTTGGAGTGCTTAAGATTGATGAAAGAGTTGTGACATTTATTAATGATAATCCAGCCAGAGGGACCGTGCGATATTTTGGTGAGGAGAAGGATTCGACTGGAAATGTTTACGTAATAGTAGGGCTAGAACTGGTAAGTAATCTTAATTTTTGACTCAATTTTCTTAGTCAACATGTCTTAGTTTATGGATATAGAGTACTGTTTAGAAGTAAGTGGATGATCTTGACTCAAAACTATTGAGAATTCAGGATCAAGAATCAAGGCTTAAGTATTGAGAATCAAGGAGCAAGTTGCTTGAACAATCTCTTAACCCTTTAACTACCAGATCAAATTTGTAATTTTCCTTACTGTCAACCATACAATTCTTATGATGTTTGTTCAGAGAATTATTTTAGTATTGGATCAATTTATTATCCCCAGATTGATATTTTTCTTTATTATCATCACTTATCTGGTCAACATTGTAGTGATATTGTAACAAGAAATTCAGTCTTGGTCACTCATGAGAGTTAAAGGGTTAAGGATCTTGATCTGCAATTGTGAAGAAACTATTTAATTCTAGAATGTAAACTAGTAGTGAAGGACATAGTGCTTGCCATGCGCATCATGACTCAGAAGCCACTTGCATGTATGCAAATGCTTTCACCTTAAAAAGGGCAGGAGCTTAAATCAAGCTACTCTCCAGCTTTTCTGATTCAATCGCATGGATATTCAAAACAATCAGTTTTAAAAAATTGAACTTTGGGTGCTAGGAGTGATGTTAGTGTCCTGGTTTCTTAATCATCCTCAAATGTACAACTGAGTGATAAATATATCTTGTTAGACTTTTTGGTGGTTAATATCACCAAGTATTTTTACAAGCTGTGCCATATATTGACAAGCCTGTAGTGCAAACATCAAGTAAAAATACTTAGTGATACTACACACCAAAACATCTAATAAGTTATTTATTATCCAACATCTTTTTCTCCTGCTAAGTCTTCCTGTTCATTTCTCATGTGGCAGATAATACAAAGCAGATAGAGAAGCGTAGTGCATGCAGCTGACTGGTTAAACAGGGTTTTTTTACAGTACAAAATAACCAAATGTCTGAATAACTGTAAATATCGCAAGATATTTTTAATCTATTCGCTGGTTATTTGTACTGTACTTTGTGCAGTTGGATGGTAAATGATGTTAATAGGAGTGAGTGGAGTCCAATTTGGTCTGTAAAGTGATTAACAAAATCCAATGGCTGCAAAGAGGGAATAATTATGATTATTTGCCAATCACCAGTGTGATTATGGACAGAATTGGACTGCACAAAGTCTTGTTACCAATTGATCATAAACATTACAATTTCTGGAAAAAAAAAACATTTAGGACAAACATCTCTGGTAAAGTGTCTAATTAAAAGTAGAAGTTTCTCCATTTTGGAAATTCCCCAGATGTGGGTGGTTGTTGCTATAGTTATTGTGATCAATTCTGTGTTTGGTGGATTTAGGTGAGTGAACTTAGTATGATTGGTTGCTTCAACTGTGGAATTACAGGTGTTTGATTATGGCCAAATGTCTGACTATACTGTGTGATTACAACTGTAGTGAATAATAAGTGAAAAATAAAACAGCTAATGCACCAATCATATTTAAGGAAATTGTAATGGTTATGATAAAAATTTAAACAAACATTCCCATGGAAACTGTGATTTGTAATATTTTGTTCCTTTTTGTTAGTGACACTTTGAGATGAAAGAGGATGATCTACAGCTGCTGTAATTCTTGAAAAATAGTTTAAACTGAAGATATTTAGATAAATTGCAATCAATTGATCAAATGTAATGAAGCACTCAGTAAGCCATTATATTTCAACTTTCTATCCTCTATCAGGATAAAAGAGTGGGATCTGGTTGTGGTAAAATACTGGGTTCTCAAAAGTTTGTTTGTAAGAGAGATTATGCAGCATTTGTACCATTGACAACTGTCATACCAGAGAAGGACTTTGATGGTTATCCTGGAAAAGCTGCACCACAAGAAGCTCAAGGAAAGCGGGAGCAAATTCATGAAGATGAAATGCATACAAGATCAATGAGCTGTGTTAATGTACTATCAGGTAGACAAATGATTTGATATCTCAGTTGTTTTATAAATTTTTGATTCACTTAGTCAAGCACACCATGTATAATGAATCAGAAAATCATAATCTGTGAACTGATGTCTCTTTCACTCAATTCCCTTAAAACATTCAGATTTTGAGAAATTGTTTTTCCAGTTAGAAAAAAGTGTATTAAATTGAAACATTCAGTTTTTGTCTTGGACATTTTGAAACTCTGAAGCTTTAGTTGTATGGTGACATGGTGTCCTAGAGTGCATTTTTTTCTGAATTGTCAGGTCTTCTGCAGGTTGAATTATTAGTATGAATTGTTTATGACATATTGATATGCAACTTTGCTAATACTGGGGTTAGAATGGACTCTGGGATTGATCAACTCTGTGCCAGGTCCCTCAATGGGCATGTTGTTTAGCAGAGCCTCTATCTTTGTTGTTGTTGTGTGAGATGCATTTTTGAAACTAATTATTCCTTGGAATATATAGTATTTATTGAGCTTTAAAAGGTCTCACTTGATCAGGATGAAAGGAAAGGTGTAACAACTTTACACAGGCTTCTGCACAAACCTGTGAATTGGAATTAAAAGGTTTTGGTTAAAATTTTGTACCTTTCTAGATGCCTACAGTGATTTTCACATTCCCACGCAGATCAATGATCTCATCAGCCCATCATGGAAAGAAAAAAAGCTTGCAAACTTACAACTTTAAAGAATTTGCAATGTTTTTTTGGCCCTGCATTTCTCACAACAGCAACAAAGATATAGGTTGCGCGAAACTTGCCCCTTGAGGGACCTGGTACAGTGTTGGCCAATCCCAGCATTTATTTGGAAATTTGTGAATTTGGAAAGGCATCTAGGGTTATTTTTATCATTGTAGTGTGTAGAACATAGCTTAAAGCATTGTGGTGAGGAAAACATAATGAATTTATTTTGTATCTTTTGTTAGGTACTAGTACAGAATCTGTCAGAAAAGTAAGAAGAACAAATTCGATGACCTCTGCTGAAACACAACTCATGATGGCAGCTGGAGAATCCAGCAAAACTGATCCAAAGGAGTTTATAGAGAAACAACGTCAAATGCTAAGGGAGTTTGAGGGTCAAAACCTGCCTGACAATCAAGATAATGATGTCATCATGCACGATGAAGAAAGGACAGACAGTGCTGGAAATATGCACTTTGAAGATGATTATTTTAAAAACACTCCCCAAGACGGGTTTTTGAGTGATGGGACTAAGATAATTACAGTGCAGCCTGGTTTGTCAAATGGTGACCGTAATACCAATTTAAACTATGTAAACAGTACTCAGGAATATTCTGATTACGTACACCTTGAAAGGGATGGCAGTGAAACTGAGAATAGACAATTGAAAAGAGCTGGTAAGTGTGAAGCACATGATAATATATAGCTATTTACACAAAAATCTGGTTTCAAAACCTGTACATTTATATTATTGAGATGTATAATTGTTTTTGCTTTGCTCTTTCACACTGATCATAACACAAAACAATCTTGACCATATGATATTAATTAACACAAAATCTACAAACAGCATAACTTTGATTTTGAAAGGAGAAATTATAATTACTGGACCTTCATGTTACTTAAATGCCTCTAAGATCTACAGTTGTTGTCTTATTTATAGTCTATTTCTGGCATAGATTCATATAAATTAAATGGAGCTCAAACCTTCATGATGAACTACCAAACAACACTGTGTCCACAGGTTCATACTCTCTATTATGTGTCAGCACATGCAACTGAATTATTGACTTACACTCATTTTACAACTTGACCCCCTACATGTAGTAAAGCATTGTTACATGAAGAGCCGTTTTGAAATATTGGAAAAACGTGAAATATACATACTGCATCCCATCTCATTCCAGTTTCAAAATTTTCAAGCCACGCTGACCTTTGAATTAATTCTCAAACACAGTGACTACAAAGAGAAGGAAATTTAGGTTTTACCATCACTGAAAATAATTTGTTCACTCTCCAATGAAGAAGCTGTTCAGTTACTCTGTTTCCTCATGGACATCCATTCCTAAGTTGCAATTAGAACCACTGTCTTCATAAGCATTAGTGTGCCATTGTTGGTAGCAAATTAATCTTAAGGTGATTCCTCAGAAGAAAAAGTTTATGGAACAGCTTTTTTTAACTTTCCTTAAATGTTCCCTACCAATGACTGTTTCAACTAAAACAATAAAAAAGATGGTTCACTGTGTTTGTTTAAGAGATATGAAGGGCATAACTTACTCCATTAATGCTGATACTGGAACTAATCACAAGCATTATTTCATTGATACATGGTACATCTTGCAGTGTCTGAAAGCAGGGGTAGTAACACAGAAAAAATGCTTGATTGGTAGAAAGTCTCTAGGGTAATATGGAGCAATTTTGACAAATTGTTTGGAAAAATTGCTCAATTTTAAATGACATCAGCTCAAAATGTTCCTCAATTCATTACTTTCAGGGTTATAATTTGCATCCTTGAGTAACAGACTTCATGCATGCATTTAACTGTCCCTTTTTTTCTCTCTGATGGTTTTTTTTTAATTTTTGCTTTTAAAGGGGGTAATTTCTACACTAAATTTATGCAGTAAAAAGTAAAAAAAATTAGACGTGCTCATTTACCTGATTATGCAATTTTTATGCAGAGTACAGGATGTGGAGTACATTATGTGGAATAACCTCCATTTGTTATTCCTCTGTCAATAAATTATGGGTATGTGATGGTTTAAGATTAATTTAGGTCTGGACAATTTTACCCTTCATATAGATATACTTTAATCTTAAAATTCTTAAACAAAGGAAAATGCAAATCAACCTCATTTGGCAAGGTGTTTGTTTTATCCTCTTAGTGTGAAAATAAGGGATAAATAATGTCCTTTAGATAGAAGAAACTTTTAAGCTAGAAAAGAAGTATCCATCCGAGATGATCATAATTTCTGATAATGATTTCTTTGGACAGAAGAATCTAAGGAACGTGTACAACCTGCTACACATTCAACTTCTCACCGATTACCAACATCTGAAGATGAAGTAAAGCAGTTCGAGCCAGGAATAAATAGAACCAATGGATCTGTGCTAACAGCCAAATTTGTCTCGGAGAGAAAGACAAGTGAAATTGCAGAAGCTATGGAAGTGGAAATGGAAGATGAAATGACTTCCAAAGACACCTCAGAGAAGCCATATGCACACTCACATGCACCCTCTTTGCCTAGAGCTGATTTGGCAGTTGACAAGGGAACTGGTTGGTACTCAATATATTTTTGCTAATTTTTGGAATCAATTAAATGTATAATTTTATGCTGATTTGTTACAATAGTTGAACCTTTTCCCCTTTAACATTGTAATTTTCATTTCTTTTAAGCAGTTGTGGTCACCCTTTACTTGAGTCCCAATGGCCTGTTTGTATCACTTTCCACCTGTATTTATTGATCACTTAAAGCAGGACCACTCAGACAAATAAAACTAAGAATAATCTTTCAAAAAAAATTTAATCCATGTTTATCTACCAAAATCAATTTTAGTAGTATTTTTAGTATGTGCTGTAGAGTTGGTAGTGACTGATCCCCTCTAATAAGAAAGCATCAAGAGATGTCTCAAGTCATCTTCAGAACTAATCTATTTACTACAGAGTTAATTGAGTTTAGCAATTTTGAATTATGAATTTCAGCTGTTAGGCTGCTTATTTATCACAAGATGCAAAGACACAGAAAATGATTTAGTTTACAGTGCATTTGGGCTCATATTTTTCTCCCCTATTCTGCTTATTTTATTTTCCCTTTGATACTCTCAAGTCAAAGGATATAAGGGGACCTGGCACAATACTTTTTATTTTTATTAGGTATTGATATGTTTCTTAGCTACTGCTGAAAATGCACAACACAGAGAGTTTTTCGAAAACTAAAGCAAGGGGGACCCACCCTTACAAGGCTGAACAACATAAATGAGATGTGCACAGCACAAACGAAAAAAAGAAAAATATCCTTACCTCTGCCTTTAGGCTTAACTAGACGTACACATTTGTATTATGAGTAAAAATTTCAGTAAAGGTTGTAAAGCGTGAGAGGATGTAGGTTTGTCTTTTTTATGTGAAAGTTTATCACAACTGCAAGGGTAAAGGTAAAGTCTGTACTCAAGCCAAGTGGCCTACCCAGCAGGAGCTTATTCTGGTTTCCTTTGTATGAAGTGACAAACAGCATCACTTCTCCCCACAGGATGGGATGCTAGCCCATGGCAAGGTTACCCCCCAGAATTTTATCAAGCCTCCCTGACAATTTTGTGGTACCCATTTACAACATGTACACTCCTTGGTGGAGAGAGACACTATGAGAATAGAGTGTTTTGCCCAAGATCACAACACATTGGGCCAGGGGCCTGTTTCTTGAAATTCCTGCCAACTTAATGGGCCTGATGCCATATTTTAAAATCAAAATTAAGAGAATAGAGAAGCAGGCTTTAACACCTTAACCAGTCCATTTTGTTTCTTTAGCTGATAGTTTTATTGTATTATCCTCAAAACTTTTGAAACTCCCATCTTGAATGAAAGGAGAACAGCTTTATGGGTCCACTTACATGTAGTTAATGGGACCTTCGAGAAACAGGCCCCAGGTCTTGAACCCAGACATCTTGTCCCAGACTCCAGCACACTTACCTTTTAGGCCAGCATGTCTTCCATTATCACAACTGTAATAAGGCTTAAATTGTCAACAGTTTGCTACTGGTTAAGCATTATTTTGCCAGTGACCAGTAATTGTTGTAACAGTGAAATTTTCCCTACAGGTGGCAATGGCACTATGTCAGTTGATAACCATTATGGTTTGGAGGTTGGATCTATGGTAGAGGTTCCTATGGCAGATGGTGTTCCAAGATGTGGTGTCATTCGCTGGATGGGAAATATGCCACAAGTGAAGGAAAAGCTGGTAGCAGGTCTGGAATTGGTGAGTGAGATTTTTTAGGCTCACCCAGTGTAAAAAAAGTATGGTAAACCATAGATTTTATTTTGCAGCTCTTAATTGATTATTGTATCACCAACATTTATTCTATACTTTCTTTCTCTGAAGGAAGTGAAGGAGTCTGCATGTTCAGATGGGACTTTTAATAAAGAAAGATATTTCACCTGCCCAGCAGGACGAGGTTTCTTTGTTTTACTGGAGCATTGCCGACCAGATTCCCGCTTTGCTAACTCACCAATCACTGATGTCAGTCTAAATGCTGAAAAAGGTAAATGAGCTAAATTTGAAAACTATAAAGAGAATTATGGCAAGTGCGTTACATTCAACACAACCCACCACTGTGAAACTTCCAATCATGCATTACACAATACTTTTATTTATTTTTTCATGGGCAGATATTGCAGATATTGAATATTTTTCTGGAGATGCACAAAAAAATTTGTCATCATTTAAATGATTCTCTTCAAAAAAAGTTTTTTTATCACCAGTTCAGTTCTTGGGTACTTTTCAACAGCAACATATCTAGCTCTAATGATATCAATAAAAATTTGCCCTTGTACAACTTGTTTTGATAATTTTTTTTGTACCCTGTGGTTTCTTGTCTCTATCTATGTCTTTTACCACCTCTCCTTTAAGGTTATTTCTTAAAGGAGATGTATCCCCTGAAACCATGTAACCTTTATGCCAGTCTTTATAAATATAAATGTAGGTGAAATTGTGTAATGGAGTGCCTTTCGAGTTTCCAGAAAGTGACAAAACATCCTGAAAATAGTCTTCAAATGAGCTAAGAATGCCTCTACAGGGGCTGCCATTTTCATCATGCAACGAAACCTGTTTGATGAAAATAACAGTTTTTGCAATAATCTGAGTAGCAATTGTTTGTGAACTGGGTGATGTGGCTTTGTGTCTGTAGCTCTTTACTGATTGATAACAATTTCAAAAAGATAAGTTTATTGAGTTACTGTATTTTAATTATTTTTACCATAATTTTAAATGAACAAATAATTGACTGTTTTCAGACTTTGGATCTGAGCTTTCTCCAGAAATCTCAGGCGTAACCATGCCTCCCAAAACTCTTGAGGATAATCACCGTGGGCAGATGCGTGGTCTCCAAGGTCACCATAACTCGTGCTACCTTGATGCCACACTTTTCAGTATGTTTGCATTCACAAGTGTGTTTGACACCTTGCTGCATCGTCGCAAAAAAGATGATGATTTGGAGGAATATGATAAAGTGCAGAGTGTGCTAAGAAACTTGATTGTCAATCCTCTCAGAGTGTACGTAATGGCATTATAATTTAATGAACAGTTAGTACATGGGGAAGTTTATCAGGAAGAGGGGAATAAATTACATGTTACACACTGTTACACTGGATCCTTTTAGCAAATAGAATGGAACCTACGTTGAGCAGCCACCCAGGAACTGTTTGATTGTCTGGCTGACACTGGTTGTCAATTTAAATTTGTTGCACATGCAATTATAGCAGTTAATTATAGACCTTACCATAATGCAGGTTCATTTTACCAGCAACACAGTGTTGGTATCTTTCACATTTATGTTGCATTTTTGGTACAGATTTCATTTGAGTGTCATTTCAGATTCTTGAGGACAAATATCTCAATGTTGAATATTGTGTTATTGCAGGAAAGGTTTTGTTCGTGCAGATCGCCTTCTTACACTGAGACACCTTCTTGACCAGCTCAGTTCCACAGCAGGCCTAATAAATGAAGAAAAAGGTGATATGAAAACCTTAAAATTGCACATAAAAATTACCAAGTAGAACAGTGTATTAAATTCACAAATCAGCATGATTTTGTGCACTCTTGAATGTCCACTCTCTTTTTCTTACTTCAACAGTTTCAAAATTACTCAATTCTTTCTCTAATTCCGGAAAAAGGGAGGATTTTTTACAGCCTGGAATGCTTTCAGTTTATAGTAATGTGCTGGTTTCCTCCTACCCTCCCTGCGTATTTTCATCTGTTAAATGACCCATTCTATTCGGTGGTCTTTAACATTTGGCAGTTGTTACATTTGGCAGTTGCTACCGAAATGTCTCCGAACAGGTCATCTTTTGTGGGCCGATTGAACCTTCAAAGCAAGATGTGAGCTAGTCAAATTTAGAATAAAAAGTCATCAAAGATCCACTGTCTTTGTTGTTAGATTATCCTTGATCAAGGTTCCACTTAACAGCTGAGCGCAAACTTGACCCAAACTATTTTTGATATTGTTGTTGTAATTTTTCAGACCCAGAAGAATTTTTAAACTCTCTCCTGCAACAAGTATTAAAAGCGGACCCTTTTCTTCACTTGAAGTAAGTTATTTTTAAATCCGTTTTCTGCACTTCATACTGTGTATAATTGGGGTTTTGCTCAAGCGCAAATAAAACCTTGCTGTATGGATTTCACAGGCCCCGAGATGTGCAAGAGAAGAAAGGTGAAGGAGCGTTCTTGTACCAGATCATAACTGACAAGGATGAGTCGGTGAAAATTGCTCAGGTTCAAACTATGTTGGAGCAGTCTTTTATCTCAGCGGATCTCATACTATCTGAGGTAAGAGGGACGTGTGTTGATGCAAGTATTTTTTTAACGACACAGCAATTTCTAATTAACACGCTGCATTTTCGTCAGTAACCTTTGTAAGTCTTAGGTGATATTGTGAACAGCTTCACTCCCAGACGTGATCAGAGCATTATTTTTTCCTTGCAATATAAAATACACTTTCAAGCACAAAGGTGATGATGTGCTAGGAAAATGTCAACAAAGCGATATTGTGTGATTGAACACCAAATTCTCAGCGCCACGTTTACTAGAAATGTATGGCAGACAGTGCAGAGAATTGATATTTAGATCTGGGAGGGATGGGGTTAATTAAAAGCGGAACTACGTCACTTTTTTGCCTTTCGCATTTCATTTCCAAGTTTCGCCATTGTAATGCTCACATGAATCAACCTTCTTGGACATGAGTATGACATAGTTGTTTTTTTTTTTTACAGGTACCATCGTGTTTGATTCTTCAGATGCCTCGGTTTGGTAACAGATACAAAATGTACGACATGATTCTACCCAATCTGGAACTTGACGTCACTCACATCGTCGAAAATGGTGCGTGCTACAGGGTTCTTAGCTCCAGTTTGTCTGTGTCACCATTTGACGACCTAAAATCATGTATAAGGGTCGCTGCAAAAAAGAAAAAGGGGGAAAAGAATGCTTTGTGTTACAATATGAAATAATTTTTGCGCCTGTTAAAATGAGGAATTTGGTTGGGAAAACGCCCGAGCAACAATAATTTATTATGCAGGTTATCTTAGTTTTACTTTTCTCACTAATGCAGGCGAACATGGAAAGCTGATAATCAATTTCCAGGGCCAAAATAGACAAATCACTAAGAATCATAAAGATAAAATCAAATAGATTGCAATTTTTTTCCCTCCGGCATAGATAACCTTAACACTGTTTGATTTTAGAACTTTCTAGAAATCCAGTATCCAAATAGGAAATCCTTTCAACTAAATCGCGTTCATCCCATTCTTGTCTCCAATTGCGCGTTGACTTCAGTTCTGTGATTTACAACGTCACATGACTTCATTATGTGACTTCGTCATGAAAAGAGCTTGTTGTTAACGAAGATCGTTATGTTCCCAGTTCCCCGCGAATGTACCATGTGCGGCTCTGACGTTGCTCAATATGAGTGCAAGAAGTGCTATCAAAAAGGTCTCCTGAAAGACGGACCCGGAATAGCGAGCTACTGTAAAGGATGCCATGAGAAAGTTCACGGTCATCGAAACCGTCAGGATCATAACCCAAAGCCGATACTTCTACCTCGAGTGTACGGTTACTACAGTGACCAAAAGAAAACAGGCGAAAGGCAGATAACATTCCTCAAACAGAAAATGGATCTCTTTGCTGTTGTCTGTATCGAGACTAGTCATTACGTGGCATTTGTTAAGTGTGGTATGGATGAAAACGCCCCCTGGTGCTTCTTTGACAGTATGGCGGACAGGAAAGGTGAGTCAGCTAATAACTGGCGATGTTGGTCACCCCTTCACTTTTTGTTTGCGTTTTGTTTGTTTATAAAGGCAAGGAAAGTTCATAAAAATCATCAGAAATTCAAGACAGGTCACGACGAGACAGAAATTATGAGAAGTTATGCTTATTGTGCTTATCAGTATCATTCGGCTGAAATTCTGCTTTTATTTGTTCTCATCTCCTAATTACTTTCCTTTTTTAATTATTATTTTCGTTTTCACGGTTGTGTAATAGTCACATCGTAATCGATTTGTAAGGTCTCTAGGGTACAAAATTCAAAATCAAAATCCTAATATTTCTATCCTTCATATGTTATCTGAATCCTTCAAGGTCCCGCCGGTCTTTCTTTAACTACCCGTTTCTGTTTTACTTAAAGGTTTTCAATCTCGGTTAATTTTATATTTAGGATATTCGATTTGGATATTTTACGTTTTTGGAAGCATGGCATCCTATCATGAGGGCTTAAAGATGATCGGGTCGGTTGATTTCTCTTCAAAATTAAAATAGCTTTGGGTTTACTTGTGACAGGATTTGAAGATTTTTTCCAAGAAAAAGCTCTTGAGTTGGGTGTTGTAGATCAAACAATTACGTGCAAATAGCTTTATGGATACTAGTAGCGCTTATAACGTCCTAACTCATTTACTCCGTTTTTTTGTTGCCTTGCTTTTCAGGAGAAAGAAATGGTTACAATATCCCTGCTGTGACGCCTTGTCCTGAAGCGCTGGAATGGCTCTCCAAAACCCCCGAAGAAATCATTGCAGCAAAGGAGAGAGGCGAGATGCCTGAAAAAGTACGTCGTCTACTAGGAGATGGATATCTGTGTATGTACCAGAACTTGGACATGACTATGTATAAATAAATCTGGAGACATACCAGTGGCTACGTCTCCAACACGTTCGAATTACGTCGTTCATTCGAGGATTCACCGCTTCTTAAGTAGGAAGTCAAGTTAACTACACCGCATGCAATGCACGTGTAAAATACTTGGGGAAGTGCCTCTCACTAGGTTATGTATTAGTATTTGGGAGAGAAATGTATATAAGGAAAAATTAAAAAAGTGATTTTTTTCAGGCGTATACCTATAATTTGTAAACTTATTTTTTAGCCTCGCTCGCATTTCTGTTATGCGTCATGAGCAAAGTTCATTGACACTAAAATGATGGAAAAATTGATAGTTGTATGTAAAGCAGAAGAGAATCATTCAAAATGAAAAACCAAAATTGAGAGCGATTTATCTATCACTTAGAAAGTAAGCAAAATCAAAATCTTGTCATGTTAAGTACATAGAACTTAACTGCTTTAAGTTTCATTTCACTTAAGTCGAATACAATACGAACAGTAGAATTTGTACAGTTATAGTGAACTCAAAGATTGATAGACATAAATTTTGTAAGCTTGTGATGTCTAACGAAACTATGTTAAGAGTGAAAGGGTTTCGTAGACGCGTAAAAAATTATACTGTGCAGGTAGAGGTTTACGCGACGGGGAGGGGGGGAGGGGTGAAACGGGTTGAAGGATGGGAGGTTAAAATGTGGACAACTTTACATGGAGTATAAGTGCTCAGTTAGTTTAGTCTAGGCTCCTAAAAGAGTATAGTTAATTCAATTTTTACGAAAACTTCTGTAGCGTTTGGTTCAATTCCTTGATATATGGTTAGCTTTTGTTATAATCCGCGTTTGGGTAGTACTCTTGTACTTCCATTTGTATTCAGAAAAAATTCAGAAACATTAAATAAATTTATTTGCATTACTTTACATTGTATTTCCCTTTTGATTTCCATCATCTTGCCGTTGTGGCTGCTGCGAAGATTCATATTTCAGAAGTAATCTGGCGATCGACACAATTCTTGAAACTGTTTGGAAATGTATTTTTGTATTAATGCACTTCTTCTTACAGGTTTCTCGCAAAGTTTGAATAACCCGTCACAATTTACTACACCACTGAGTAGAGTTTTATTTTTCACACACTAACTACAAATGGATCGCATAGAATATTGTTTATTAAATCCCAAATATATCAAGTGCCGTCTGATAGCACTTCAGGGCGGAACAAATGCCCCATACTAGACCAGGGTTGACACAGCTGTCAACTCAGTGGTCTACGGTGGTGATCTTTCGATAGAGGCATTGGGAAAGCTCTCAGTGTTCTAGATTGACTTTGACAAACAATTAAATTCACTTGTAAACAGACATTTTTTTTTCTTACATCCAGTTTTAAGAAATAAATTCTTTACTACTTACATGAACACGACAACAAACTACTTGGACCAGAGGCGATAAGTGGCTGTCCGAGAAAATTGATTACACGAGTATAGAACAGAACTTAGTTATCCGTATCTTAATCTTTGTAGCGATTCTCCCCTTCCCTCAACGTAAACATAAATATTCAGTATTTATGCATTTCGCCAAACACATAAAATTAGGTCTCCTCCGCGGAGTTTTAATTAACTTCTGTTTTTAAGACTATGAGAGCAACAAAAGATTTCAATAGTACTACTACTACTGCAGTTTAAGACAGACCTTTCGAACACACATTTACTTCCTTGGTTTAATTCAATGATGAATTCACTCATATTATTTCTAAGGTTCATCATTATGTTAAGTAATTGCTAGCTTTTTCATGGACTATAGAAATCACCGGGACAGAAATGTAAGAAAGGAACAACAGAAAAAAATAATAAAGTGTTATTTCCAGTGGACTTGTACCGGCCCTTCTACAACAGAAAACCGTCCATGGATCCAGTTCTAGGAGACTTCAGCAAAGCCCTTTTCTTTCATTACAACAACACTATCTTCTTTCATCTGAAGGTTCACCGATACACGCAGCAAGACACCAACGTAGGGCTCGTTCGCACTGAGAAAAGATTCCTTAACAACTGGAATGAAATTCTACATTATGCGTTCCTTATTACATGCTTCCTGATACAAAAAGAGTCCATGTAAAACCAACAAAAACTACATTATTAATTTAGTAAGCTTTCATTCCACCTAAAGACGCACTCCCCGCCAACATCACTGCTTGGAATTGCACCTGGGTTAATCTACTAACATTTGCGCTTCTTTCTTTTACTTTTAGTGAAAAATGAAATTTAATGGCTGGTATAAAGAAGATACTGTACAAAATAAATCAAATGTATTAAAAGAACACATTTTGTCCTATACAGGTTGTGTAACCAATGGAAATTTTCCGCAAAAAAAAAAAAAAAATTGGCCGTGACTGTGAAAGGTTTTTCGCGTGAAAAAGTGTAAGAGATAAATAGTTCAATCAATTATTTTGAGACAGTTTTGATTTGTAGATTCCATCAATGACCTAACTATTCTTAACGGAGTGAACGCTACTGTTTTGTACAGGAATCTGATGTCCAGAAGTCCTTCATGAGAAAACAATACTCTTGTTGGAGTGGCATGGCGTTTGTTAGTGATATAGGTTCATGTGGTTCCTCCTTCAGCGATCCTTGACCTCTCTTTTGATTCTCTTGGAAAGTCGACCGAACACAAGTCCGCCAACAAAAATAAGAGCTAAGCAAGTTGCAAAAATGACGAAGAAGTAGTTCTTGGAAGGTGAAGCGGAGATAGCAACAGCAAGATCACCAATGGTTTCCGGCGGGGCAACCTATAAAACAAAATTTGTCCAAATTAATACTGGTAATAGCGACGAGTAATCAGAGGAGCGATTCACAAATGAAAACCT